ATCCAAAGAACTGAAACATCCAGAGTTTCATCCAAAGATCTGAAACATCCAGAGTTTCATCTGAAGATCTGAAACATCCAGAGTTTCATCCAAAGAACTGAAACATCCAGAGTTTCATCTGAAGATCTGAAACATCCAGAGTTTCATCTGAAGATCTGAAACATCCAGAGTTTCATCTGAAGATCTGAAACATCCAGAGTTTCATCTGAAGATCTGAAACATCCAGAGTTTCATACAAGGATCTGAAACATCCAGAGTTTCATCTGAAGATCTGAAACATCCAGAGTTTCATACAAAGATCTGAAACATCCAGAGTTTCATCTGAAGATCTGAAACATCCAGAGTTTCATCAGACTATCTGAGCTCTGGTGCTGCATGGTGACCAGAAGTGAGCTGCTGCTCGGTCCAAAACACGCTAAAACCATGAATCGTGGTTTGACTGTTTTAAGAGCCCGACAGAAAACAGTCAGTGTTTCATTTTACATTTGTCTCTTTCTCAAAAAGATTTACAATAATAAATTAAAAAATGTCACAACATAAAATTATTTCTATGCAAATACAAAAATCAAATTGAATTATTATATAGAGCTTCAATTAAATCCAACATATTTAAATCAGTGCAGATGTTATTTCTGTAAACCTTAAATCAATATTATTTTTACAGATACTGTAAACATGAGGTCAGAGTGTGGATTTTTAATATGTGACAGCAGGTTCTGAGTTCTGAAGGTTTACAGGTGTGACTGTCGGTGGTGGGCGGGGCTTTGGTTKTTCGAGCTGCAGCATCACTTCCTGGATCAGATAGCTTCTTCCATCAGTCAACAGTTTGTCTAAAAGAACCTGGAAGGCAGAAACTTTAGCTGCACCTTGAAGATTTTCATTTGTTCTCGTGTAAAATGATCAGCTTTAAATCTACATTTCAAAAACAAAACATTAAATCACTAAACTGTAAACATCCTCACAGCCACAGAACATTAAAACTCATTAATAAAAAATTATTTTCATAAAGTTGCCAACAGTAATGATGCAACATGAACAAATAATGTCCATAAAAATCAGAACGTTCCAGTCGACTCTTGATTCAACAGGAGTCACCATAAATAAAAGAAGTTTTTTTTAACGATGTCATCCCAGATCTCTGAGGTCTGAGCTGTCGAAGGCGTCCGCGGTGACGCGGTGACCCCGTGACCCCGCGGCGGGCACCAGAGCACGTTGCTGTGTGGACCCGACAGAATAGCAGCAGCACTCTCTGCAGCCACGTGCCGCTGCATCGACGTTTCAGCTCATGAATTTGGCATCTCGGCGATCAATAACGTGTCCGAGTGTTTGTTTGGAGCTCGGACTTCAAACCAGGCGGGCGCCATTAGAGGAACTGGTTTGTCAGAAAGAATCGATCAGCTGCTCTGAGTTTTAACAAGTTTTACAGACCAGAACCAGATCAGATCTGAGACCAGAATGCAATCAGATCCAAGACTGGATTTCACTCTAATTTGACACCAGATTCCACTTTAAACTGAATTCAGGTTCTGCTGATTAGCTGTGGCGGCCATCTTGAATCAGGTTGATTCCGAAAGTTACTCAGTTGTGGATTTTCATCTGAGTTTCATRAGAAATTTTGCTAACAGACAGATAAACACACAGACGTGGGCAAAAATATTATTGCCCCTTTTAGCCTCTGGTGGTCGGACATTAACAGACTTTAAATATCTAATTACAACTAAACGGTTAGAAAAACTGATATTTAATAAAACAGATCAAAGAATGAACTCTGTTGTTTGCTTGTTTGTTTGTTTGCTTGTTTGTTTGTTTGTTTGTTTGTTTTAATCTGGAAAATGTATGTTTTTTTACATGAACGGAAACTTATACTAAAGGCAACCAACAGGGGGCACTCATTTTGAACTAACTTCAACTTCTGTGTTCTCTTCTTGTATCTACTAATTATAAATGTCAGTGGTTTGAACCCAACAGAACTTTTCAGAGTCAGAACCAGGAAACATCCTGCATCGCACCACAGACAATTTGAAAACTTTTTATATTAAAATCTTAAACAAATAAGGAATAACGATCGTGAAGAAACCGTTTTAGAACCTGGAAAACTCTGGTTTGGTTCTGGTGTTAAACGGTCCCTGCTGTGAAAAGCAGCTGGAACGTCCGACGGAGCCGAACGTTTTTCTACGAGCAGCTGCACAAACCGAAAGCTCGGTGTCGAAAAGGAGAAGAAGACGGAACGTTTTGTACAGTTCCTGAGTTAAAACCTCCGAGGAGCAGCAGAACCGGAGAGACGTGGAGAAAAATATAGAGATAAAAGAAGAAAACTATCGAGATAAAAGAAGAAAACATTTGAGATTAAAGAAGAAAACTATCGAGATAAAAGAAGAAAACATTTGAGATTAAAGAAGNAAAAGAAGAAAACATTTGAGATTAAAGAAGAAAACTATCGAGATAAAAGAAGAAAACATTTGAGATAAAAGAAGAAAACATTCAAGATAAAAGAAGAAAACATTCGAGATAAAAGAAAAAAAGTTCCCAACTAAAAAGTAGAAAATGACAGAGCTAAAAGAAGAAAAAGTCCGAGCTAAACGAAGCTGCCAGAGGTGGTGATTTACAAAAAACAAACATCTGTACAAAACCTAAGACCAGTCCAAAAGCCCTGGTCCAAAGCTCTCCTGTCCTCCAGTATTGCTGATGAATCAAAAAGTGTGTCAGTGATTAAAAAAGGAGAAAATACTCAGAAGTTTCCAGAACCCCAAACAGTTCGGGTTTAGGACGGGTCTGACGAGCCCGGCTCCTCCGTCCTGCACTTCTCTGTCATTTCCTGACAGAAATCCGTCGTCACTGTGGGGCCGCGGGCTTTCCGAGCGGACCCCAGAACCAGATCCGGGCCGGCCTCGCCTCGACCCAGGTGCTCAGAGTCCCCTCCGGCTCGGACAGAGTTCTGGTCCGGGCGGGCCGACGGYGACTCGGACGTCAGGTCGATGCTGGCGGAGACGTGCGGGGCCTGGCCGTCCCGGACCTCCCTGCAGACCTGCTGCGAGAGGAAGGACAGGTTCTGCCAGAGCTCGGACATGCAGAGCTGCAGCTGGTTCCGCTCGCTCAGCAGCTTCTCCTTCTCCGACACCTGCAGAGACACACGGTCAGGTTCTGCACAGGCGGGTCCGAATAAACGGTTCTGATTGGAGGAGGTTCTGAAGGGTTGCAGTAAACTTTAATGTTGCTGCAATGGATTATGGGACAATGTGTGTGTGTGCGTGCGTGCGTGTGTTTTCGGACCGTACCAGTTTCCGGATCTCACACTCCAGGTTCTGGATGCAGTCCAGCTTCCTCTTGCGGCAGCGCTGGGCGGCGATGCGGTTCTTGCTGCGCCGGCGGATGTCGTGGATGAACTCCAGCTGCTCTGAGGTCAGTTTGTGCATCTTGACGAGGATCTGGAAGTCGTTGCGAGGCAGGTTGGTGATCTGATCCACGGGGAAGGGCAGCTTCACCTGGAGGGAGAACAAACTCTGACTGACTCTGTCTTCATGACATTCAGGGGCGGAGCTAGAGGGGTGGCCCCGGGGGGGAAAGTGCCACGCCTTGGTGGTCACCACAGGTGCCACCCCCAAATAACTGACAAGTGGTTGCTAATCTTGGATTTTGTATTTGTATTTATACTTTGTATTTATACTTTGTATTTATACTTTAACAAAGTATAAATACTTTGTTAAAGTATAAATACTATACTTACTACAATACAATACTTTGTTGTTGTTATACAACTTAATACAATACTTTGTTAAAGTATAAATACAAATACAAAATCCAAGATCAGCAAACGCTTGTCAGTTATTTGGGGGTGGCACCAAATAACTGACAAGCGTTTGCTGATCTTGGATTTTGTATTTGTATTTATACTTTGTTAAAGGTTGCTCTCTGGTATTACAGTACTATTTTATTTTTTAGCTGTGAGTGTTCAAAATAACTGAATTGTTGCTCTTTGTAAAATTAGCATTAATGATTACAGGTTAGCTTAATTTGGGATTAGCTACCATTTACAGTTAGCATGTGATCATTCTTTGATACTCCACAACAAATTTCATCTCAATAAGTTTTATGATGGCTGAATTATAGCCTTTTAACGTTAGCTGTGGTGGCCATCTTGAATTTTTCATTAGCATTTACAATTTAGTAAAAATTGTTTTTGGCTACTTAGGGTAATTTTCATCTTTGTGTGTCTAAAAATGGCTGAATAATAAGTTGTGACTAGTATTTTTTAGCTATGATCACACATTTCAGTTCCGTATTTTTTAAAACAGCTAAAGTAAAGACATTTAGAATTAGTTGTGGTGGCCATCATCTAACCCAGACTGGTTTTCTTTATTTTTATGGACCCCACTTGGCCACTCCTGTGCCCCCACGGCAAAAAAAAGGTCTATCTCCGCCCCTGATGATATTTAGAAGAAGTTTTGAAACAATCAGGTAAATAAAACTATTTATTTCAGATCTTTAAGAAGTTTAACTTCAATTTATCTGAATAAATTTGAACTTCTATTTTGATTTAAAAACATCAACAGTGTAAATAATTTAAAGTTTTACTTGATGTGGTCCCAGTACCAGTACCATAAAGACAGGTGAGTGTAATGTGTTATAATGACCAGCAGGTGTCAGTATCAGGCTGGTTACTTCCTGTTTAACAGTAGTAGTATATAAAACCATTCATTCTGTGTATTATTATTATTATTAT